ATTTCCAAATGTTTGTATTATTTTGAGAATATTGTATTGTTGGCAATTCCAGCTACAGTAGAATCACCTGAAATATATTTTAGTAAATTCGAACTTATCAAAAAATATTTGAGCTCTACCATGACGTCTAGGACAATTGAATATTGAATCTGGCATTACCAGACAAATGGATTTTGATAAAGTTAGAAATTTTGCAAACAAAGACAGAAAAGCACATTTTAATTAGTACTCTAGTTAAATGTTAAATTTGTTTTTTGTTTTTTTAAGGAAAAATATGTTCCTTTGAAATAAATTATTATGAACAGTTTATAAAGTATTTCACTATGGAAAACCTAAAGAGTGATTGGTGAATGTAACCATAGATACTGATTTATGTTTTCTGGATTAACTGAATGTGTTGGTTACATTATGTTATATCTGAACATGGAAATAAAGCATTTAAATTTACTGGATATCAAATCCTCAATTTTGAGAAAAAATATTACCTGTTTCAGGGTCCCTAAGGGGTTTTATATCACCTTGCAAAATGACATAATCAAGACGTTAACATCCACACTACTTTGAACAAAAGCCGAGGAAGAAAATCCCCATAGATACTGGAAAGAGCGTTAACAGTAGACGTGAGAAAACTATTTTCGTGAGAAATTATTTAAATATAAAGATTTTATAAATTTCAACAGACAGTAGCACTGACTGTTAGATCAATGAATGTCGAATGTTTACTTATAAAGAAACGGCTAATATATTAGGATTCCTATTGCAAGTTTTTGGAAGTATGTGGATCAACCATTTTGAAGAAATTGAGGGCGTCATTATAAATTTTAGGAATATTTACAGAAACAAACATTGCATTTGACAGTTAATGTCCTCATTGAATAATAACCTGTTTTATTCGCAAATGCAAGTTTATATTTCAAGATTTTCGAAAAGTGTGAGCGAAAATTCAGACTTTGATAAATAATCTATAATTATTTAACAAAATCTGAATACTCGCTCACGCTTTTCTAAATTCTCGTTTTAGAAAGGTTTAATCGATTTGCGGCATCATTGATTGAATACATGTTTTAATATTCGTAATCTAGGTGCACTGGGAGTTTTAAGCTCAGTCGAGGTACTATTCAACGGTTAATCTGAGATATTTATTCTAATTCGACTGACAGGTGAGCTTCATGAATAAATAGAATAGCATTAGTTTAATCTGATTTGTAGACGGCAACGTTTCCAGGGGTGGAAAACTTCATTTTTGTATTATCTTTTGGTCACACGTTCATTTTCTTTTGTTATGCCCGTCTGACGTCGCTGTCTAAAGTCTGAAATTGATGCAAAGTTGGACAGATTTAGTGAGTAGATATAAAATCCGTTCATATTATCTCTGTAAAAAAAAAAACGTCGTTATAAAATGAAGATATAAAAGAACAGAGCAGAGGTTTTTCTTTTTATCTTTCTTTTAGAATAAAGCTGCAAATATCTTTATATTAACGTGAATGCATCATTTGTCGACTACTTCGATACATTTACTCACGTATGGACTTCTCAGGTTGATCGCTATTTCTTCTCCAATATTTGCAAAAGTAATATGACATCCAATTTTATAAATTATTTAAATCAATATTTTTAATTTTTTAAAATTTTTCCTCAGTCATTTGTATAATTTTAACATTTTTAAACAAAATGCTTATTTTGATAAAGTAATGAAAATTCTTCTTTTTTCAAAAAAACATTTTCTTGGAAAACGATTTGATAAAGAAAATATTTATTTTGATACAGTAATGATAAGCTTTTGTTTAAATGAATTTAACGCGAGTATGTAGTTCAAATAAATCAAGATAAAACGTTTTAAAAACATATTAAACTCTGAGTTTAGATGTTTAGATCTTTTGTTTAAAATTTGTATCTAAAGCAATGACTGATACATAAAGAAAACATTATTTAAGAACAAATTCGTATGCATTCCCCCCATAAGGGCATTTCGACGTAGCACAATGGTTGGGAAGCAGGTCCCGTAAGGTCTTTTACGATTGAGTAGTGAGTTCGTTCCTCACTGAGAGCTAGGTACATTCGAAATACTCCGACATTTTAATCCGTTTATTGAGTCGGTATATATTATTTATTTCATTATTTCATTGGTTTAGCGAATTATGTGTTGATTCAACACATATTTCGTTTTTGAAGTGTATGGCTGGAATGCAGCGTGCAGATTGAGTGTGAGGAACATAAATAGTAGAAGTTGGTATCTTTAAAAATATGTGCTTTCAAAAGAAATTCTCTTTTCTTTTTCTTCGGTTAATACATCGGGTTCTAAGCCAAACGGGAAGCTCCCCGCCCCAGCCTTTCAGTAAGTAGTTCTTTTCGTTGTTCAGAAATGTAGACCTTTGGATTTGGTCGCTCTTGTTAAAGAAGGGTTTAATATTTTTCCAAGGTAAGGATTTTATTTCATTCCTACTTTATAGAATAAAAATTTAATAAAATTTCTGCATGTCTTATAAATGCTTTCATTCTGTATCGTTCTGTTGAAAAGCTTTTTGATGGTAGAGATACCTTTTCGGTATATATAGGTATCACTTCACCTGGATTCTTCAGCAATGCTGTATGTAAAGCAGCACTATTATACAGAAAGACGATTCTTCTTTGTGTACCGTGTCTTTCCAGGACATGGTAATGACTCTCCACAATTTCCTGTTCCTTGTAGTTCTTAATAAATTTTGTCTTTCTGTTATTTCTTCTAAAGCCTGTTCCGCCACCCATTTCCTCAAACTCACTAAGTATGTTATGCGCTTTTCCCTCTTTCTCTCTTGCCTCCGATCTCTCCTGTGTCAGATTTTCCAAGTCCTCTTTCGTCATTATGTGCCCTGCAAATCTCAACAGTCTCTTCCTGATGTTAAGTAAAAGTTTCCATTTTGTTTCCATTTTCTCTAAAACTTCGTCGTTGCTCACATGTTGGGACCATTTTACACTCAGCATTCTTCCGTAGAACCACATTTTTTTGTTGCTCCAAGTCTCTTCTTCATCTTTGGGGAGGATCATCCAGCATTCACTAAAGGAGGACAGATATCACGTAAAAGTTTAGTACTCTTTTCCTTCCGTTTCATTTTATCAAGACGAGGTGCTAAAGCATTAAAGCCAGAATAGGCATGTTTGTAGTTTTATCTAAAGGCTGGCTTTCAGGCGTTTAATTAAAGCACAGAAGCTGGAGTTTGTACAATTGTATGTGTCTGCAAAATCTAATAGCATTTTCCTCATTAAAATAGCTTATTTTGCTAGCCTGCATCGCCTATAGCCTCATCCAGTTTTAATATAAACCAATCAAGAAAGGAGTTTCCTTCAGCGTCATGGAGATCTCGAACTGACTACTTACACTCAAGTAAAGTTCAAGAGACACTGTATACAAGATGAAAACTAGAGAATAAAACAGAGAAGGTAGACAGAAAGAGAGAGATTGAGATAGAAACATATTGGTTAGGGGAGAGACTGAAAAAGAGAGTGGGGAATAAATAGTGTGTCATTTCTCTCACACCCTTCCTCGATTTCTTCTGCTTGCTTTTACCCTTCCTGTGTATTTTCATATATATTGCTTTTGTTGAGTGGTAGCCAAAAGAAGAGTTTACATAATGTCGAATGAGATGTGCTGAAGAACAACATAAACTATTATCATATTGCTAGGATATTTTATTTTACGGAATAGGGTTTCCCCAATTACTAGATTTAGTTAAAACTAACAGCTCCTCAAAAATAATTTTAAAATGATCGAAATCCCTATATATTAGCTATAACCAAAAAGTGTCCGAAATTCTAAGGAAAATATTATAGAATTATCTTTCCGTTTTCTGAATGTTTGGGATGAGCAGTTATCATTATTTACACTATATTAAGAATATTGTCCTCATTTTTGTTGTTTTTATCACAACATTTCGGTCAGTGTTCACTCAGTCCTTCCTCAGATGTAAATCAATCTGGTTGACCAACAGGGAAGTCCAAACTGAATCCTTTATTTAACCTAATCGAGTAGACTGTTCTCGTCCCACTGCTCATGTCTAGGGACATCGTCTATTTATTATTTTATTTAGCACTTCAGTTATTGCTCACCTATTTCCATTGATTACAAGTATACGCTGTCCAGCCAAGGGATTGAACTCACAACAACTATATCATCAAATTCACAAACCAATGCTTATACTCACTAGGCCATTTTCCCGTAGTTGCTGTGAATTCAATCCCTGGGTCGAGCAATGTGTACACTGCTTATAAAATAAGAAGTAGATGATATTCTTATACATGAGCAGTGGGAGGAGAACAGTCTCCCCCTGTAAATTAAATAAAGATTTCAGTTCGGAATTCCCTGTAGGTTACACAGATCGATATCCACCTGATGAAGGTCGGAGAGCACAACGAGCGAAACGTTGTGATAAAAACAACAAAGATGAGGATAATCGGTTGAATATAAATAGAGTAAATAATCTTTCGTTTTCCTTCTCATCATATTCATTAGCCCTTTGAAAGTTGATCCCCTGGTGAGTAAAGTTTATTCACTTTCACAAAGCGGACGGTATACAGGCCGATCAGGTTTAAAGGATTGAAAATGGCTGACGCAGACGTGGAAAGCAAACGCTTGTCATAATGCTTCCATTTCTGTAAGGATAAAGTGCTGCAAACATTCAATGAACGTTACTGGATATGTATGGGAAAAATGCATTCACTATAAACACGGTAAGGAGATAGGTCAGTTAATGACTATCCCAGAGAAAATGGAGAAACTAAGATGGTGACTGGTCATGCAGTGGCAGGACATCTGCTGCTGTGAATAAGCATAAAAACAAACAGACCAAGCACTTATTACAGCCGGCAAACAATCTTCCACGGTTTTCTGTGTTTGCTTATTTTCATTTTCTGTAACTACATATATAATGCGTTTGTTTGGCGGTGAAGGCAATGGAAGGTTTTATATCAGTAGAGATTGTTGTTTTTGTTTTAACTTCTTGTATCTGTCTCAGATTCAATGTCAAATGAGACGTGCCGGGGAACAACCGTGAGTAAAACATTTTTATATCACTACGATATATTTTATTGAATGGGGTCGTCTTTATTCTCATATTTGCTAAAAAATCAATAAACTGTTACAATGTTTCTTAATTATTTATCAAAAGACCTACTTTTAAGCTATAAACGAAAAAATGTGTTCAGAAGATTAGGGAAAAATAAACCTCATACTTTGAGCTCTACAGGTCTATAAAGGAGAATAGCAGTTCGTCAAGGATGATGCGAAAGAGGCAAAGGAATTATATCTAAGAAAGAATTTGAAAACGCTTCTATGAGGCAGATATACATATCCGCTTTCACAGGTTGTGTACCATGATTTAGACATCCATTTGACAACTAGATTTGGAATCCTTGGAATTTTGATTTCATTTTACAACGCGCTGTGCACGTCTTGTACTAAATCTTTTCTAATTTAACGGCATTACTTATGCATCGACTTGCGTACAATCTGGTAGATTCTGCGAGGTGAAAGATGCTCATTTTTTTTAATGAAATGAACGCCATCTTTACAATTTTGTCAGCATTGTCAAAACCGTGACTCTGTCCATGGTTGTATCACCTTTGTATCACCTTTGTATGCACCCGTTGCATCGATTGCATTTCTGAAATTCACTGTATCAACCGATTTTCTTAGATTTGGTTGGTTGCTGATGACAGATCGAGTTCTGAATGTATCCTGTTAAGCGTATATATTCAAACTAAGACAATTATCGGTTTCTTTAGAGAACCCATCTGGCCTCTGACCTTTAGCATTAGTGACTTTCTAAGTGAATTATCAGTTACCATATTTCCCTGACATTATCCTATTTTTAATATCGTTTTAAGATATGACTAGTTAATTTAATCTTGACCAACGTGTGACCACAATAAGCCTCAAAGATATATTGTTTATATTTTTTTATTTACTTCACGTATATACATAATATGGGGTCATTGTCTTGTTTCTAGGGAAACGCACTAATTATTATTTTTTCGTCCGACATATATTCTATGAATTTTGGGGTTAATAAAAGGAATGTCATGAAGTTTTTCACGTGTCACACTTTTCTCTTGAAACCTGCCTTTTCTTTTAAATTGAAGCAGATCCTGAACATATGTTTGTTGTAGTAGGAAATAACCACCAAGAGCCGTTTATATAACCATCCAATACCTACGATATACTATACACTGAGCATAACTACTAGTGTTTATGACCGTCAAATTTGTAAAATATGAATCTATTGCGATTTTCTATATTGGCCGAAACAGAAATGTATTTTGTGAATATATGTTGATTAGAACAGAAACGGATGGTCTCATTAGATAATGGGGGTCTTCCACAGGAAGACATAAGTTAACTCGTCCAAAGTTATAAAAACAGATTAATGGCCAGGGGCCAGATATAATTTTCTCTCTGGGCACCTCGAGGTGGTGTAATAGTTAGCAAGCTTGTCTCGCTAAAACAATTACGAAAGAGTAATGAGGTCGATCCTCACTGGGTGTCCCTTACTTTCGGCCTTGTACCACATCCAAGCTATGCTTGGAAAATCACTATAATTATCTCTCTTTGGTACGAGAATAAAGTAAAGTTAGTTATCTTCCCTTGGATAGAGTGTTTTTCCAGTCCAGCATAAGTTTCGCCTGACGATAATTTCGGATTTTTTTACGATCTGTAAATTTACGTTAAGTTTATCGTTTTATATTGTATTTTTTTTGGTTATCTGCGTAACTTTCGAACTTTTGTATTTAATTTTCAGTTTTCATTTATTTTCCTTTTTGCTTTATTTCCTTTTTTTTAATTTTTCTACGTGTTACTTGTTTTTTTTTTATTATCTCCTCGTTTTGTAAGCCAGGCTTTATTTTTTTAGCGTCTATTTTTCTTTTGTGTTTCAACTTACCCCGACTTTAATTCGTTTTTATTTTTGTTGCTAATTTAATATCTTTATTTTTCTACGCGTTTAATTTTTTGTTGTTTTTCAACCTCCCTCGACTCTATTTTTGTTGCTAATTTTAGTTCTTTTCTGTTTTGTAAGCCAAGTTTAGTTTATCTTTTGTTTGTTTTTCACCTCCCCGGCTTTCTTCGTTGCTAGACATTTTTCTTTTCATTAATTTTTTTTCCATCTGTTTTTGCTTGTTTGTATAAGGCTTTGGCATTTATGGCGAACTTGGTAATTATGTGGCCGTGGTGAGGTCGGCCTGGTCAACTATGGCGGAAAATTTAGAAGAACCCATGGTGCAGATGGAAAAACGTCACTGGCTAAAATAACGATCTGGAATGAAAGTAGGCCCCAAAAGGATGCCAACTATTACGAAAGACTACAGGAAAAATACGATTCGTACACAAGAGGGAACGAGTTCCTCACAATTCCCGATCCGATAGATACCGTAAAGACGAGAATAATCTTCCTGCTGACCCCAATCAATCTTCGACTTCCTACGTCGGTTGTCAGCAGGGAAACGATGGAGGAAGCATTGAAGAGGCTCAAGATAAAGCCAAAAATGGCTACAGATCAAGAAGACAAGCATTTCGTGGGAAGAACCCTGACGACAAATTAAGTCCGTATACAGACGGAATACATGGGGACCTGAAAGACGGGAGTCACCGTTTATGGGTTACCAGTGAACACCAACGGAGGCAGGTTGAGGGCCTTTTTTGTCCGATACGGCCAGGTCAATGACGTCTCGGGAGCAATTCGCAAAGCGGGAATTGCTACAGATGACTGTGTTCTACAGGTAACATTAACGCGCAAAACTTTCGTGAAGATTCTGAAAGTATTGATGAGTCAGGAAAAGCTGATGCCCGCGGTGGTAGAGGGCCGTCGTCGCTACAGCTCGGGATACATGCCTAAAGTGTGTACCGGCATGAACATGGCGCCACAGCAAGGCACCCGAAGGTGTTTAGGAGGGAGGTTGGGAGAAAGTGACGGAAGACGTCAAGAAGCAAGAGGTCCCCAAGCAAAAACAAGCCCAGGAGAGGCAGGAACAGTAAAAGCAGCACCAACCACTGCAACGATCCCGGAAAGTGCAGCAACAAGAAAAGGAACAGCAACAATTTCAACAGCAGCAACAACAAAAGCAGCAGCAACATGACCATCAACAAGAACAACAATATCTGCAGTAATAACAACGGTAGAAACAACAGCAGCATGTACAATGGTGTGCGGACTCTGATATAGAGGCGGATTAAATACCACCACTTCCGTCCTCCTCTTTGAAGAGGGGGAGGGAGGAGGAATAGGAAGCGAAACCAATCAAAAAGAGAAGAGGGCCGGACGAAACAGGAAGGAAAAGGATATGGACAGGTCCCAATCCGTTCTTGTATCGCCAACTAAAATCGAGGGCATCGCCTCAAAATCAAGGAGCCTTTCCCCTTCTCCTGCTCGGGATCCGTCCCTCTCCATTTCCACCCCTTCTCATTTGTCCACTTCTACTCCGCCCCACCCGTCCAAGGAAAAAAAAGAAAAAGAAACATTTCCCCCAAATAAAGTAGACAGACGGGATGTAGAGAAAGATCTTTGCACCCAGAAGAAGACCCTCTTGTGTCCCCTTTTCAAGATCATCTTCGACGATGAAAAGTCGGTGGAGGGTCTCTGTAATTTCCCCAAAGCTCCGGTTGTGATTTCTTGCATAAGAGATCCGGGAAATTACTTAAAAGTGTGGGACCCACCTGCCGAGGCGAAGGACGCCCTAGCAGAATTACGGATGGTCCAGATGGGAACCCAGGAACTTAAAAATCACTTGAGATTTTGTGCAGGTAGGGGTCCGGTGCTTCTCCACCGCTCTCTATATAGGGTGTTAAAACAAACGTTGGTGATATTGTCCTAGATGGGCGGATGACGTCGGAGATGGGCACTGTGAGCCTAGGACAATCCATCGGTGTCCTCAGTCTCGCATATTTGCGCCTAGTCTGTGAATAGGCTTTTTGTTTTTTCCATCTTTAAAAATGTCTGTCAAGATAGCCAGCTTGAATGAGAATGGCTTGCTTCGTGATCTCTTTTCGTTTGGGTGGATGTCGCCGCGATCGAAGAGACTCACTTTGTTTTCGATGTTGATGCTCGTGTACTGTCGAGCGATTTTGTTGTTTATTCAGCATATAGGGACCGACTGGGCAGAGGTGATTCCTTGAGGTTTAAGCGTACCCTGGATGTAAAGGTGGACCTTGTCCATATTGATGTTGCGCAAAACGACCTTAATGAGCGTGTCTCGTTTTTCCGTCAGATAGGGACGTTTCTGGCGGATTCGTCGCGCTTAGTCTTAATGGGGGTCTGGAATGCCATCCTAGACTCCTCTATAGACAGGGGAACTAGCAGGGGGTCGGCGATCGTAGCTTCGTTAGACTGATCGGTGAGTCATGTCGATAGGGTGGGGGAAGATGTGGGCGTGAGCACTTAGGTGGCCGTCTACCCAGACCAAGCTACTTGGATAGAATGTTAGTCAGAAGTGCCTATGTAGATTTTCTTACGTCCCACTGGTCCGGCTATTCGTACAACAGACTTGTTTGTACCCGGATGACGTTATACACTAAGCCCGGAATAGCTAGACACTGGAAGTTCAATCTGTCTTTACTCGACAGGCGGGACTTCCGGCAACAACTGATTAGAATAGTGCAGCGGGAACTTGTGGGGGAGGTTATCGGGAATAGATGGTGGGTAACGTTAAGGATAGGATTTGGACCTTTGTCACCAAATATCGCCAGCGGCACGCACTAGATAAGGCTAATAAATTGAAGGCTCTCAAGTATAGCCTTTCCGGTTTAAAAGAAGCCTGATATGACGAAGAGTTTCGCAACTATTTGGCTGAATTTCACCGACTTTCGCCGACTGAAGCGGCTAGCCGTGAGGGGAAGAACACGGAGGGTGAAATCTACTTAACATTGGAGAATGTCGGCAGTGGCAAGTCTCCAGGACTTATTGGTCGATCCTATGAATTGTAATTGAGTCTGTCGCACATCTTTGTACCAATTTTGATTGTTGTGTTCACAAACTAGTTCCGCCAGGAGTCCGACGCCGATCGGATTTCCAGGAGTGTGATCACGATGTTGAAAAAGGTAAGCCACAGGAAACCGCCCCGTTGTAACGTAGGGGGATTTTAAAAAAGAAAATCAAGCCTATCCTCGTTCACGCGAACCAGGCTCACCGCAGTTACCCACCTTTAGTTGAAATCTTAAATCTCGTGTACCTAGTTAATGTGAGCAAGTGTCGTTCCTCTTTTGATATGATCCAGTTTGTGATTTTCAACCTCTCCAGTTTGTTTTGGCCTCCCTTTTTCATCTAGACTGAACCACTCGTTTTGATTCTCCCATGCCCGTACTTATTTTATCCTTCCATTTCCCTTAGAGAGAGCCTTTTGATTTTGTCTGAAGACAGAATACAGGAACCACTCTTATTATTGAGGGGTTGACGTGTCCTACTAACATCAATTATTTTTAGTTTGTGTGTTTTGTCATATTTTAGTTAGTTTTCGGTTTCAAACCCCTCCCACACATTTCATACCATCGGTAAATATTTACATATAATTTAATGCGCAAAGAAATTTTTGTCATGGTGTGTATTGCAGGCTCCCTGTGAATTTGTGGTATTGTGGTATATTGTTATGGGGCCTTACACATAATAACATAATGGACTATTCCATACGTAATAAATACTGCGCCTCAAGAGGAAGCAGGGAGTTCAATCTGAATCAGGAGTCAGTCAGTCGAGTCAGAGGCAGTCCGAAACAGAGTCGCGTTCAGACAATTACTATTAAACCTGATTGTTCGTACTAACCACTTTCTACTTCTCTGTATATATTCCTGTTTGTAATATATCTGTGTTATTCCATACCTGTGTTCGAGTTCATCTTTATTGGTTCTACCTTGGACTATTACCGTGGTACAAGGAACCGGACCATAACATATATGTAGGATTGAATTATGATGGATGAGTTTTTGTGATAAATGAGCAAATTGTAGTGAATGAATGGGTCATGAATCTGATTAGCTAGGTATAGGATAATTAGTGTCCAACAACGTCAGCCCATTTTCCCTTGTTTTGACCTTGTGCCACAATTGCTGTATTTATACAAAAATAAATATTGATACGAGAATAAAGTAAGAGATAATTACTATTACCATTGTCATTGTGGTTATTATACATGGCGTTGTAGACACTATCTGGCGAATAGGGGGAACTATCTTAACAAAATAGGACATGGCATCTGCACCAGGCTGAACGTTCAATTCAATTGCTCAACACATGCAACAAATGATAGAACTACAAAGATCAAATACAAAATAATATTGGAGAACACCAATATAGGACGACACGTGCCTTAAGTCAGCGCCCACGTTTAAACACACGAGCAACTCGAACTCTACCCCCCTCCAAATCCGAGGACAACCGCGCACATATTCTGGAGCAAAACTTCAACTGACCACGTCAATCGGTCATGTGGTGAGAGGAGGGAGGGGGCATGTAGAGTAGAAATGGAAGGTCTCATTAGATAAGGGCGACTTCCACAGGCTGGCATAAGTTACCACATACAGTGTAATATAGACGGTTGAGTGGCCAGGAGCCAGATATATATTTTTTGTATTTGTATCTCGTTGGTACGATAATAAAGTAATTGAGAATTAATACTATCATTGCCAATGTGGTTATTTTACAAACTGAAGCTTTATTTTTACTTAGAGACATACCACAAAGTTTTGGTTTACTCCTATCTATCTATCTATCTATCTATCTATCTATCTATCTATCTATCTATCTATCTATCATAGTATCTTCGTGTTTCGTTATCTTAGTATGTTCTTGTTTATCTTTCTAAGTAGGTTCTTGTTTATTTATCTTAGTAGGTTCTTGTTTATCTATCTATCTATCTATCTATCTATCTATCTATCTATCATAGTATATTCTTGTTTCGTTATCTATCTTAGTATGTTCTTGTTTATCTATCTTAGTATGTTCTTGTTCATTTATCTATCTTAGTAGGTTCTTGTTTATTTATTTATCTATCTATCTATCTATCTATCTATCTATCTATCTATCTATCATAGTATGTTCTTGTTTCTCTATCTTAGTATGTTCTTCTTTCGCTATCTTAGTATGTTATTGTTCATTTATCTATCTTAGTTGGTTCATGTCTATCTATCTATCTATCTATCTATCTATCTTAGCAGGTTCTCGTTTATCTATCTTAGTAGGTTCTTGGTTATCGATCTTAGTAGGTCCTTATCTATCTATCTATCTATCTATCTATCTATCTATCTATCTATCTATCTATCTTAGCAGGTTCTCGTTTATCTATCTTAGTAGGTTCTTGGTTATCGATCTTAGTAGGTCCTTATCTATCTATCTATCTATCTATCTATCTAAAATATTTTCGCCATCACTGTATACATTTAAGAATAAAACAATAGGTATTAGAAGCTGTAATAACAAAGCAATGCTCAGAAAATTACAGGTATCTTTGAACAGGATATAATTATAAATGTCAATACCTTATTAATAGTTTATCGAACCAATAATTATTCCTTAATTAAAATATTAAACATCCAGCAAGATCACGTAGTGGATTTATTAAACAAATATAAACACTTTCATTCATAATAATGTCTTCATGCATTCTGTTATTAAAAGGGGAAAATGAAACAAAATCTAAATTTGTTTTTTTAGCGCCGGTATAATTTGAATTCAATATTCGTAGGTAAGATTTTAGCAATTCTTGTCGCTCCCACTACTTAAACCATTGACTTAGTCCCTTTTTAAAAATAACAAAGTAAACTATTTTATATTAGTAGCAGGGGAATTGAAAACGTTTCGACGTTCGAAAGAAGCGATCATCAGGATTTTCAAGATTTTAGGCAAGTGTTACTGAGTGGATAGTGCTGTTATAGGTGAAACTCCATAAAATAAGATTTCGCTATGAAATGTGTTCTTTTATCATTTATTTAATTATTCGTGGCAATGTATTTCATTGTAATGTCGGAAAATAACCTTACAGGTGTGTCAGGATATCTTGCCCGTCGTGTTCTCATTGTACACCTAAATCGAAATAAATCAAATGGATTCCCGACCTCCTGTTTCCGTGTCGTCTTTAATGCACTATCCAAAGTTAGATTTCAATCATCATTTTCTTTCGAATTAGCCATTCACACTCTTCTCACATTATAAAGACAGAAATTATAGTCAGAATTATAAAAGTTTTCCTCTCATTTGTAGCACCTGGCGCGAACACCGCCGACTATACGGTTCTGTTCTATTTCCGTCTGCAAACATCGCGAAATATTTATGAATACGCGTCTTCAAATAGTGCCGATGTCTTCTGTCGAAGTTAATTAAAGAGAGAAAGCCCGTGCCCTTGCAATTACAGAAATATCGCTTGATATTGCCCCGCGTTCTATTGTTACTGCCGCAAATCGATTGAACCACTCGATATGAATTAAATATATCCGAATGAACTCCTATCTCTCCGAGCCCGGTATTACTTACGGACCCATTTGTATAATAACATCGTGGTAAACTCCTGAAGCTTTCCAAATCGTATCGTCCGTTCCTAACTTCCAATATATAACAACATATTTACTATCCCTGGAACCATTCGCTGAAGTTCAAATTAAACCATTTCCGTCAATTTACAGTTACTTCTGTTTGAAGAATTTTTCTCTGCGTCGAGCAAATATTGCCAACAGTTTAGAGCCTTTCATTTATTATACCTGCAAATTAATGCTTTTCTTCTATCGTCTCAATATATCTTGAACTAAAACGAAGAAATTATTATTTACTATTTTCAGGTAGATTAAATTCGTAAATATATATTTCTTTTACTCTTTTTTTAATTTTTGTACTATTGTTGCCCCAGTTCAAAACCCAAGATCAAATTAATTGATTTGTTTTCTAAGGCTTATCAAGCTTTTGCAGGTTATTTAAAGCCAGGAAATATTTTTAGATTGTAAGAGTTTTTTTTAGATAATAATGATATAAGTCGTACTAATTAACCCATAGGTAACAGGGGAAGAGGTGGATTCAAAATTTCCCAAGGGTATTTGCGCGTAAGTCAACATAAAGAATCCAACTGGATTTGGAACTCGATTCTCCCATTAATAATTTCGAGCCATTATCCATTATAAAACCACACGCCAGGCTTACATCACCTGATATTCTCAAGCGGTTACCTGATATTCTCAAGCGGTCACTCATCTAGGTATTGATCAAGTTTGATGTTGCTTAACTTCGAAGATCGTGCCGGTGTTTCAACGTGATATATCCACTAGCCTAAGAATCTGTCATAAGGCCTAAAAGAATGCACAATGACCCGCGTTACTCAATGAAAACAATGTAACTTATGGGTAAGATTCTTATGTTCTGGGAAAAACATAAAAAGTGACGCTTTACGAAATTGGTTAAACAGAAAGGAGCATGAATTGTACCAAATACGTCCATTTGATACCAGGCTTGGATGAAGGCAAGATCTTTTCAATCTAGCTAATGCAGGCTTCCCGAATGGAAACTTTGGTTAGCTCAAGGCACTGACTTAAATATCATCTAGAACATCTCAACAGAACTGAAGTGTTATACCTGAACGTACCTATTCTATTATTAATAGACTCCCCCACACATAATAAGTAGTAGTAGTAGTAGCGGTCGCCTTTTGGGATCAGTGTAGTTGTGTGAGTCTGTCGATGTCGGACATTGAAGTATCAACCACCACAACTAGATTGCTGCGTCATTAACTTTTATTTCAAGGTCCTAACGTTTTGTACGTCGGACCCTTTTAGGACCGACTTAGCGAAATACAAGCTTCCACTGTGAAAACTACTCTACAACATGAAGAGAAGAGCTCGCCAGAAGAATCTACGCAATCTTGTAGCGTTGTAAGAGAGTAGTCATAGAGAATCGTATCTCATACCTGTAAAGATGAACAATATACCTTACTTTTCAGGCTCATGGAAGGGTTATCCATGCTAAAGGAAGTCACACGAAATATTAACAATGTACAGTATCTTTTTTTAATAAACATTATGTAATACATTTTCCTGACAGGCATTTCTTCTGGTTTTAAACATTACATCTGGCTTGGTTTACAAGAAGCGACCGAAAATATATGCACGACGACTAATGGGGTCTCATCTAGAATCTTCACACTCATTTAGAACCACTGCTAGAAAATATGAAAATTAGATACAGAAAAGAACCTAATGTTAATGACTACTTCGAAATTCTGGAAACTTGGATCGAGCCGGTGAAAAATACCATGTTCCAGCAATATTCTTTCTTCCCGCCCATAAATGAACCAGTAACTGAATGCACAGTAACCTTCATGATCATGTCACCCACAGCATGAAGCCTCTTAATTCGCGTGATTTGAAATCGGTGGAGATCAAACAGAGGCCCCATAATATCGATGATTCATTGAAGACTGCTATTGTGGACGGGATAGCGGGTCAGAATGAAAACAACGTGATATGAACCATGTAGTTGCACTCAAGATCGGATCGAAGATCAGGCGGGTTTTATCAAAACACACACACACACACACGCATATATATATATATATATATATATATATATATATATATATATATATATATATATATATATATATATAGATAGATAGATAGATAGGAGAGAGAGACAGAGAGTACAAGGTTATTAAGAACACGTAATATAAAAAAATAGTGAAGATGATTTTCAGTAGAAGAAATAGTATATTTTCAAAGAATTTATAATCGTGTTCCACAAAGCAATTTTATAAAGTAATGCATTTTTTATTTATTAATCCGATAGATTTTTGTCCCTTTACAAGTTATCCTTTACATCTATAGAAAGTTCCTTTGTTTACTTTGTGTACAAAACTGTGCAGATATGATCTCGAGCCATCTATGTCAACAAAGATTTCGCTTAAAGGTTCTGTTCAGAACTAGCTTGATCGGCAAATCTTCTTCGTGGCCATGTCGGTTAAGGCACGTCGCATATAACAACGGTTTTCCTCTTTCGTGGTTTTCGAATATTCGTATTCCGCCGGGGAGCGCTTATTTTTTTTTTGGAAGATTTCTCGAATGTTCGGGGCAGTACATGAAAATAAATAAATATACTGTATAATAAATAAATAGTGTCTACTCAAATACAAATATCAATTACGAAACCCTGGATTCGGGATGCTGAAGGTAACATCAATCATCTAAATAACAAACCTTTACTCATATTAACCCTCTACCTTTGATATCGAGCAGTTTATTGTAAAGACTGTTTGACTTAAATGTCTTTTTTCTCAATATCCCATTGATTGTCAGCATTTTTGGCTTCATACATTCTTTGACACACACACATACATTCTTTGACACACACACACATATATATATATTTGTAGAGTGGATAAATGAAACGGCCAAATATAAGCAATCGTGTACGCGAAAGCTGGTGTGCATACGCAAGCAAGCAAATAAATCAATAAATTTATGCATGAGGTGTAAACGTAATAGTGCTCAATGCGTTTATACTGAGCAAAGATATGTATTAATTAGTGCATATTCGTGTACCTACGTTTTGGCGTGCGACTATAGCTTCGCTGGGTGGAGTTCCCAGCTCATCGGGCACGGAAGTAAACAAATGGCATATGAGAGTTTCGCTGCTATGTAGTTTAAGAAAAAATAAAGTTGCACACGAGTGTTCTAAATGCGATGCTGGTGGTTTACATTTCTTAGAGTATATTAGCGGAATATGAGGTGGGTAAATAAGTGTGAGGGAAAGAAAAGGTTAATTACAAAATTAAAATTGACGGCGTTGGGTCCGCGTGGTCAATGAACAGTTACGAGTTAAAGGGATGTAAAAAATGATTGAGGATAAAAAATAGAAAAAACGTGTTGAAATGGAGGTGGCCGTGGTTAGTGGAGCTTAAATAAATGGCTGATAGGTGTTTCACAGGAGTGTGTTAGGTGCGATGTTGGTAATTTACATTTCTCAGAAAAAATTAGCGGAAAATGAGGGGAGTGAAAAAGTGTAAAGTGGAGAAAAAGATAATTACAAATTTGAAATGTAAAGTTGAAGACGTTACAGCGAAACTCCCATGAGCCATTTGTTTACTTCCGGCAACATAGACTCTGTGCCCGATGAACTGGGAACACTACCCAGAAAAAACTATAGTCGCACGCCAAAACGTAGGTACATGTATATATAGTAATTATTACACACACACACACACACACACACACACACATATATATATATAATACCAGAAGTACCTAACTTAGTTTCTGAATAATATATTTAAAGAATATAACTATCTCACAGAAATTAACAAACATCTAGGATAACATAAAAATGAAAATAGCAAAGTATATTTTTAAGTCTTAGACTTATACAAAAGGTTTTCTCTATATACTATATTCTTTACTGTGAAAAACAGGGATCTTCTAAGCGTAATCAGGCCACTGAGAGTGCTTGACCTTGTGATTTGTTTATTGACATTGCAAATTTAAATTTAACTAAAAATTGCAGTTTCTTAAAATAGAATGGAACATCTGTAAGGATCAAGGGAATTCTTGGCATATAAACATCTCATTTCTAACAACCAGAAAGAATTGTTGCTTCAATAACATCAGGCATTATTCTTTTCATGATAAATCTTGTGCCGCTGCGGAGTTTTGGAGGATCAAGATTTCATAGTGGCATTATTGAAGTGCCAATTTTCCGACCTAGTCTATGTGGCATTAATCCAGATAACCCAAGAGAATTAAGGAATTCTATTGGAAAATTGACTGCATCCAACTGGTTAATAACAGTACCAAGAAATTTATAGGAATGACAGTTTCTGGGGATCATTTTCAAAATTAATTGAATTGACTGCGGAATTTTTGTCAGGCGAGAATAGCTCTCTAAAACAACCATTTACCATTTTGATAATGAGCATTGATATTTGGAAAGACTTAATTAACTTCAAAGTTACTAAAGTATATATAGGTAATGCATCAATGAAATTTTCACTGTCAATTGGGACTCTCACCACTCCCAAAGGTAGCAAGTTTTCAACAAATTGATTTAATGTTATACCTCCATCCAGGTATACTTTCATATTAGTTGTTAATTTTAGGATCTTTACGTGTCTCTATAACATAGATGATTTCAATAAAGCTGCATTTGCCCAAGAGAAGTAAACTCTTTGTACATTTTCTAAATGAACATCTAGTGGCTGAACTGTTGGATATCCCTCATGTAAGTATTCCCCAAAGTGCTTCATTGTTGGTAATGTATTTTCTTAATTTACCGCTTCCGTTTAATGTTTGGTTTTGTCTATTTTCACTCGTATTGTTTCTTGTAAAGCAAACATTGTTGCATCTGG